TGTGCGTCCCATCCATCGACCCCATGGCGCCCGACATTCCAACCTCGTCATAGGTTTTCATGATGTCCTTCAGCTCGTCTTCATTCGGCATCCCCACCCACACCGGAAAAAACTCACGCGCGAATCTCTCCGTGAACTTGTGGAACATGTGGTTCACCGTGGCCTCGCCCATGCCGGTGACCTCCGAGACATCGTCGAAATAGTTTCCTCTGCCCAGTATGCGCAGCACCGCCAAAACCTGTTCGAATAAATCACCAGACAACGGCGGCCAGGGACACGATTCATTTGCGGACTTCATGTTGTGTGATAGCCCGAGTCAACATAAATACGTCAACGGTACGGCGGTGTGTGCTTCAGTGCAAGTAGCGACGATAAATTTTCGTCCAGTTTAGGAGCAACTCTGATAGTGAGCGACGAGCAGCAGTAGCAGAGTTGATGTCCGACACTGGCAAGAAGAGCATACATGACTACGAGCTCCCATCGATGTGCTCCCATCGATGTTTTTGGACTAGAGAGCTACGGTGCGGACGAAACAACAACACAAACAAGATGTTTGTGTTTCGGAGGGATGGACTCCAGCTTGTTTTGTCGGGAGAGCAGCTTGCTATTGAGGTACGCCGATCCTTCCGTGGACGACTCTCATTGTTTCGCAAGATAAGGCTGACAATCTCTGTATCATAGGAGCACCTTACACGCCCCCAGAGGACTGCGTGGAATTCCTGGTGATGGTAAGTGTGGACGAGTGTGTGTGATGAGATCTTTCGATTATTTCAGATTTAATATATTTTGATAATTCGGATCCTTATTGGAGGTGGTGTGAGCTTATTTCAGCGGAAAAAATTCATGCAAAAGATTACCTAAATTTAAGACTCGCAGCCGATCAAGCTATTGTTTCTGAGCGCCTTTGTATGAATGCTATATTCGAGCCGGAAAATAATAATACGCCTTTTTCTGAACTTCTAGAAAATTTTAGACAAGATTCAATAAAATTTAAAAAAGCTGTACCTGTCGAATCCTTATCTAAAAGTAAATTAATTGATACACAGTTAATTGATAATCAGCTACTATGGACAAGACCGGAAAGAGAAAATTTTAGTAGCGAATATACTTTAAATAGCGCGGTAATAGATTCAAAATCTGCTAGGTTTGAATTTAATAACAGGCCAGTTCCCCGCCTTCACTTCGTCTACAAGGGAGAGGAAGAAAGGGTAGGGTACGCGGAACCTTCGCCGAAACTGCTTTGCCTCTCTCGTCCAAGGGTCCTGCAATAGGTCGGCCTTCTGGGAGCATCCTTGCCCAAGGCAAGGTGCGGTAGTCCGCTCTCGGCCGAACCGTGCGGCGGCGCTTGGGTCGCGGTTCTTCGTCGTCCTCTTCATCTTCCTCCCGGTGCAATTGTCGCAGCAACGCGACCAGAAGCTGCTGTTGATGATGCAGCGCGGCAAGCGCCAACGAGAGCACGGTCAACACCGCCCTCAACTCTACGAGGCGCACCATAGCCAGCAGCACGTCTGCGCGTGCGGTGCGATCACCCAAGGCTCTCGATTCAAAACGCGGCGGCCATACGCCCACTTTTTCACGAACCCCCCGGGATTCCTGCTAGGAATTTGTGGTCGCCCGAGTTGGAATCCGGCCCGGATTCCAACTCGACTTGGCTGGAATTCCTCGAATTGGAATTTTTCGGGATTCCAACGTCCCCATAATTTAGGTTTTTTACCCCATTCCTGGAATTCCCGGGGGTTCGCGGAAAACAACGTCAAAGGGTCCCACCAAATTTTCCCCGGATTCCTGTTCCATAACAATTGGCCTGAGACCTTGGACCAGGAGAACAGGTCAAAAGGTGAAGTGAGCAAGGGTGGGGAGCACCACAGCACCGTAGCACCGCAGCCACCACCCGTGTCGCTCGACCAACGCACAAAAGCAGAACACAATGATATCGGAACACAAAGACTCAACAGACAGGGGCTAACGTACATCACAACGTACCATCAATCCTCTGACTGATGCACTATCCATAAGAAACACACTCGGGGTAATGCACCATACATTCCCACATAAAGTTCCTTGCTGTTCTGATAATATGTGGCTACTCAACGATCTTCAACGCAGACAGTCCCGCAATGCAAACTGTCCAATCAAGTTGTTCTACGTCACTCTGTCGACACACACAGCAGCAACTATCACGAACACCCTCCCTTGGGGCTGTTGTCTCGACCAGATCAAATATATATCAGAACAACAACAACCAAAATAAAACACAACTCAGGTCACTAGACTACTTCTTCTCAGAAATCAAACCTAGAGCAAAATTACGATGAACTTCAAAAAGATCTCTCGGCAGAGCCTTCGTCAGAATGTCCGCATGCTGTCCTTCGCTAGAGACATGCCTGATTTCCAACAATCCCTCCTCTGTCAAACTCGTGAGAAAGTGGTGCCTCACGTCAATGTGCTTACTGTTACACGAACTGAGTGGACTCTCAGCAAGTGCAATCACACCCTCGTTGTCCTCTCGTACCTGAATCTTACCGATTCTATCACTAGGCCTCAAGAACTCGAGCATTCCGTTGACAAACAGAGCCTCTTTTACACCGTCACCCATCGCAACATACTCTGCTTCAGTTGTTGAAAGTGTGACACATTTCTGCGTCCTACAAATCCAAGCAACAAGACAGTCAGCTACTAGAACTAGTGCTCCCGAAACTGATCTACGGTCAGTGGCCTTACTGGCGAAGTCTTCGTCTACGTACACCAACGTGCCTACGTCTACCATACATAGTGTCCTGCTTGAACTTCAAAATTTTAATGTGCCGTTTCCAGAAGATAATTCAGAATGTTCTGGTCCGCCTTCCAGTGGCTTTTCTTTGGCTCGTGACAGTGCCTCGCCACCGCCCGCACAGCATTTGAGATGTCGGGCCTCGTCTGGTTGGCGATCCACATCAGGCTCCCCACCACCTCTCGGAACGGCACATCCCCTGCCTCCTCCTCCTCCTCCTTCATCACGGACCTGTAAACACTAGCAGGGGGAGCAGGGATCGAGCTGGTGCGACAAATATTGAATCTCTCGAGAACTCTTGACGCAACGCTCTTGAGACATCTCAATTTTTTTGCCAGCCTCGCGGTCGCGACTAAATGCGCAACCATGAAAGAACTTGACCTCGCCAAAATTCTTCGTGTGAAAAGAGTCACCTAGCGCTTGCACAACTATCTTGGCAAGGCTCTCAATTCCTTCATACAGAAAGTCATCCACATGAATCGCAATCATTCCCATCACCTCGTTTCTCATCATGAAACGCGGAACACAGGGGTCAGATAGAGATTGTTCGACACTAATCCTCTTCAGGTCCGACACTAATCTCTTGAGAAATGTTCTACATGCCTGCCTCAGTCCCTCCAAACTCTTGTCTAAACGGACGACCTTTCCTGACAACGACTCGCAGCCAGGAGGCAACGTCATGAACACCTCATGATCCAATTCCGACTGAACAAACGCTTGCTCAATGNTCATACAGAAAGTCATCCACATGAATCGCAATCATTCCCATCACCTCGTTTCTCATCATGAAACGCGGAACACAGGGGTCAGATAGAGATTGTTCGACACTAATCCTCTTCAGGTCCGACACTAATCTCTTGAGAAATGTTCTACATGCCTGCCTCAGTCCCTCCAAACTCTTGTCTAAACGGACGACCTTTCCTGACAACGACTCGCAGCCAGGAGGCAACGTCATGAACACCTCATGATCCAATTCCGACTGAACAAACGCTTGCTCAATGTCAAAGTGGAGAAATTCCAAATCATACTTGCACGCCAATGCTATCAACAAACGAATCGATGCAGCATTTGCAGTAGGCGAGAAAGTCTCAAGATAATCCACGCCATACTTCTGCTTGAAGCCCTTCGCTACAAGCCTAGCCTTGGCTTTCACCATGTTGCCTGTTTTGTCTGCTCTCCATTTACAGACCCATCTAGCATCTATCACGTTACAGCCTATCGGGGCCTTTACTGCTAACGCGAACATTCCTGCTCTTAACAAGCCTTCAAACCCTGCAGACATGGCTTTGTCCCAAATCACGGTATGCATTGACTGGCGGGCTTCTCGGTAGCTACCAGGCTCTGTCTCTACATCCTAAATGAGCTCTCTCGGCAGTTCCATAGTATCAGACGCTCTCTGCTCCACTAAGAGTGCTTCTTCAATTTCAGATGCGGAGATATGTCCTAGAGTGGCCATGAGACCGGATACGCTCTGCTGATTTTCGGCCCGAGTTTGCGCACGGGTTCTGCCTTATCTGCCTTCAACATTCTCATTCGCAGCAGTGTTGTAACTAGCAAGTTCATGCCGCGCACGACGATTAGATGGTATGTGCGTAGCAGGGGGAAATGACTCCGATTCTACCTCCTGCCCTCCCGGCTCAACCAACTCTTCATCCAACCCTTCCTGACTCTCCGGCTCTACCTCCTGCCCTCCCGGACGCGCCGATTCTGCCTCCCCTGTCTCCGGCCCTTCCTGCTCTCCCTCATCGGTGAACTCGACTGCTGGAGAAGACTAGGGGAAATAATCGCGGGCGAAGATGGCACAGAGGGGGTTGACCTACACTGCCTGCATCAACACTGCCAACCTCATCGATTGCTTTACCAGAGACCGTTGCATTACGTTGCAAAAGAATGTGGGGAAGTCCTCTCCCTAAAAGCGGTCATACCTCAGCTTCTACATCGTCGTCACTTTCCTCTCCTCCCTCCTCTGCGACCTCAACTGGCAAGAGAGACGGTTGCGGTGGAGGGAGTTGTGACGGCAACGCTTCCCACGTCACATTCCTCGTTTCCTGAATAGTTCCAACCCTTGTAAGTATGACAGTCATGCGGGTGGTCTCTCGAAGGATCGACATAAAAGACTGGTCTCGGATACTTACCGGGTTCCGTATCAATGTTTGTTTCGAAGGTTTCACCATGGAACTGAAGGGAACGAGGGAGAGGGTGTGGTAGAGAGCGAGAGCGACTAAAATGCAGAAAACGAGGACGCAAACTCCTTTGCCGTACAGTTGAGGCCCGCACTTAAGAATATAGTCTAGCACTTAAGAATATGGTGCAAAAAAAAAAAAATTAAGAATTTTCCGGTAAGAACACGTGCTTAGATTGCACCTGCAGTTAAGAATAAGAACGCACGCCTGAGGTGTACCACTGCTGCTAAAGATAAGAACAAGAGCACATTGAGCAGCTGCGAGATAAGAACATTCGAACGGGGGGAGGGGGACGGGCGGGGGGATGATCCAAGTATTGGATTTGGCAGGGGGGTAGGTGTGCCGAAGGTGGGTGCATACATACACCTCGGAATCTGCAATTAATTTTTGCAGAGGAGAGGGTGGGCACTGTACACGTCGCGCCCCCTTGGCGGCTGCCAGGCCACGCACGTGCAGCGGGCCACGAGTTGCCTGCCGTACAGGGGGATCATGTCCCTGTTCAATCCCTTATCCCATGGGTTTTTGAAAGATCTTGGCAAACTTGCAGAGTTGAAAGGGCGGGGTCTGATTCTTGACCG